TCCATCCATCATATTTCAGGATATCCAGTAAAACTGTCGTTCATCCATCTACTTAATCAAATAATTTTCTATTTACCTTTAGTTTTCAATTTCTCAATTACACCGTAATCATATAAAACAAGTAATACATGCATCAAAGGAATACAATTGCATCATCATAATTATTTCAGTGTATTATCATGCATTCGAAAGCTGTAAAATTAGTTAAACATATAAAATAATAATAAATAACCGATTCCGGCTCTATTAGTAATCGGTAATTAATTATGAATATTTTCTAAGTTTCATAAAATACTATATTATTTAGAATTAAACTTCAATTCTATAACAATGAATAAGGTGAGAGATCATTGAAATGACGGTCCGCACACTTGAGGATACGCTCCGACCTTGTGTTCTTGACTTCGATGGTCATTAGGATGATCATTTACTCCTAATAGAGTTCGTCTACAATAACAAGTATCAAACAAGTATTGACATGGTTCCGTATGAAGCGTTGGATGATCATTTCTCGTAGCTTTATTGGGTAATCTGAATTATTATGTAAGAAATGTAAATTTTAACTATTTATTTTGTTTACGCACTAAATTTATAATTTATCACTTTTTGAGTTTACAGGATTGTTACAATTTTATTTGTAAATTTGTATTAAAAATAACATTAGTTTAATTTCTTAATTTCATAAAACAAAATATAAATTAAATAAAAATTTGAATAAACTTCACAATTTCAAACCCATTTAATTTCTTATTTAACCCAAATCAAATATTTCGTATTATTCTACAAATACATAATTGTGAAATTGAAAATACTAGCAAATTTTAATTAAAAAAGATGTGATAGTAGGTTGAGTTGTCCAATAAATATATAAACTAATAGATATTTTTTTACTTGACCGATGTGAGACTACATTGATTTTCCTTAATATTCTACATTACATGAAGCATGTATGTATGGATACAAAAACCAAATAAATTAACAAGTATGACCAAACTATGAGATAGATTTAATTGTAATTTCATAGTAGAATTTAACATAAATTAGTATTATATTAAGAGGAATTGTACAAATGCCTCTTTCTTTAATAACAGGAGCCTTAAAAAAAGACTTATTAAAGAATCACGAGGAATTAAGAATATCAACAACATAAAAAAATAATAAAATTAATTTGGTGGTACTTTTGCTCTAATTTGGCCATAGAAGTGTTTAAAATTAAATTCCGAGCAAATAGAGAAATTTTTACCTATTTTGGCGGTCAAAAGTGGCTCCGGTGCGGCGGAGGGTGATGGCAGCTTTCATTCTCGTCAGTTGAGTCTTCTTCTCTGGCGAGGGTGTCTGGCGGCTAGGGTTAGAGTTTAGTGTGAATAGAGTTATTTATATCAGCCACTATTTAATCTACGTCGTCAATCGCGTTTGATATGAACTGTCCGATCACGATTAAATAGGGAGTGAATCTGTACCGTCCGATCGCGTTTAAATAGGAAGTAAATCTGGACTGTTGATCGTGTTTAAATTTGACCGTTCGTTCGCATTTGGAGAGAGAATCCATCCGGACTGTTCGTATGCGCGGGAGCGAATCTGGACCGTCCGATCGCAGGCGCGCGGATCGCTAATGTGGCCTCTTGCGTGAGACCGCGTAAGTCTTCCTTGCTACGTGGTGCGCTCCGGTTCGTCAAGGTTTCTGATTGGGCGTCTTACGTTGTACAACTTTTTTAAATTATAATTTGATATCTAGTTTTCGATTTTTTTAAAAAAAAATACTCATGAAACCCAAATTTTTACTTTTTTTTTTTAAAATTATTTTTAATTTCATTTTTTTTCTTTTTTTTTCTTTTTACATTAAATTAAAATTAAAAAATTATATTTATAAATTAATTTGGTATTACATTTTTATTTAGGTAAAATAACATAAAAATTTTACGTGTATATTTATTTATTATTTATCTTATTCTCACTACACCAAACAAAAAATAAATACAAACTTTATTTTTATATAATAATCATGTTGTGCGTGCAACATTTCTCCATTATTAAGAATAAACACATGAGATTTACTGCTTCAATTAAAAAAAGTTAACAACCGATTAATTATTTTTTTAATTGCATTTTTGGTAAATCTATTTATTTATTTATTTATTTGAGAACTTGAGTTCAAGTTATGTGTGAAATTTTAATTAAAAAATATTTAAATTACCTTTTAATTTTTGAGACATAAAAATCGTACAATGAACGCCGGGATTACCGGACACCTGTCTCTTTCCATCCGTAGTACACTTCCGTGACTCCG